GGGGGTCGGACTTGATGATCTGCTCAGGTCCCTTCCGACCCTACCTACTATGAAACTATGGAATGGTGGGCAGGAAAGGAGTCTGCATCCGAGTAGTTAGGCAAGTAAACAAGCAGGTGTCCACTGAAGGATTGAAATTATTTAAATTTTTGCTCATGTGTAAGATTCCAGCTGGAACATGAAGTACTTTTCTATCTCAAAGTGATATCCTCTACTCAGAGCTCCACTTTCTCCTTTAGTAGCTCCTAAGAACTTCTTCAAGCATTTCAGATGCTTAGGATTTTCAGGAGTACTCGGCACCAAGAAGGTTCTTCCATTGCATGAAAATATTTTGAGACAGCTAAGCACTCGGGGTGCCAAGTTCTTTGAAAAACCTGGCTTTGGCAGAGGGTGCTGAACACTATCTAAAGATGAAGAAGAAGCTGGTATAGTGATGCAGGATAGATGGGCTTAATACCCAAAGCTTCTGAAAGCAACCTTGGCTGCCATTGGTTTGCCCAGCCCAAATGTTTGGAAGAAAGACTTTACTTCAAAGTCTTGCTACTAGTTAAATAAATTTTGAACAGAAATTAATATTTTACAAGTTTAAAAGAGGGATAGTGATAAGACAGCAGCAGTAAACAATAGTCTAAGTACTATGCATTATTTAGATACGACTGATACAGCAGCAGGCATGCCACACAAGGTGTGATTAAGATAAGCAGCTAGAGAGCTCTAACGGTTATCCAGGTCTCAGGCCTAAAAACTGGATAAAAAGTCCGAGGACAATCTCTCAAGATTTCTCCTACCTTCTCCTCCTAATTTCTGGCTTGATTTAAGCCACAAGAAGACAGCTTCTTATTGTATTTTGGCATCTGACTCTTGCAAATATAGAAATTCAATGATGAAAAACTAATTTTCCTTTCACTCCAGATCTCAGAGATAACTAAAGAGTTGGTTCTTATTTCATTCAAACTCCTTCCAATTTAAAAACAAACAAACAACAAACAAACATTTCATTTACAGATTTAATCACTGTCAGTATTTGATTATAACCAAACTTGACTCACCTGGACAATTTTTTGAGAATGTGCAGAAAAAGGATGTTCTAAATGGCTCCTGATAATTTAAATATCGAAGACACACTTATGAAAATAATGACACACTTTTGGGAATTTGGCAGAAAAAGAAGTTGTTGACAAAAACCAAACAGAGTTTCTATTTAAATAACTTCCACCTCCAAGTTAAACAGCAGATAGAAAGAGGGGCATTATACTGAAACTCATGCGTGTCTCACAGAACAACAAAACTAGCATGAATACATTCAGATTTGGATTTGGTTATAGGCATTACCTTTCCTGTCTGAGGTATGGCATTTTTCATTATCCTTGCCACATTTGCAATTGGAAGATATATATCTTGTTCTCTAAAACTCTCTTTTGAGCCATTTGTGTCTTCATGATCATTCATGCTGTCCTCTGTGTCTGACAAAATAAGAGAGAGTTAGTATTAAGTATATTTGTCATACCTTTGAGCATCTTACTTACATATCATTACTCAAATGTAGGGGTGCTGAACCTCTGCCCTATGGAGCTATGTCATCCAGCTTGCTGGGTCCCCATGGGCCTGAAGATGTGGAGTTAAGGGAGCAGCGGCAGCATTCATTGCCACTCCTCTGTTACCAAATTTCTGCACCTGTCAGGAACCCAATGGCCTGCCTGTTGTGGCACTGCACACTAGGTCAGGTGTGCAGGGCCAGGGCAGCATGGAGCCCAATCCCTGGATGCAGGGCCAGGCCCAGGTGGCAGTGGGCCCAATCTAGACATACAGGGCCAGGGTGTCCAATCTGGATGTGTGGGGCCTGATCTAGGCATGTGGGGCCCAACTCTGCACACGACCCCACAAGAGATCCAGCCCGAAGACCAGTCCCACACCACTATCTGGCCTGCAAAGCCAGTGTTGAACACCACTGCCCTACCTCTCTAATTTATTTCCATTGAGACTATTTCTATTATAAGCCTCTGGCAAACATACTAGCTGTGAACAAGTCTGCCACAAAAGTGTTTTTCTTCATTCTCATGAAAGTAGAACTCTACCTCCCTCAACAGCAAAAGATTACTGTACTTGTCTTGGACAGATGGCTAGAAATAATCAATCGCATTTAATATCTAGAAATAAGATTCCCAATTTTCAAGTGAGTGCATTTGCTTGCATCCCTGGAAGGTCCAAAATGTATCAAAATTTTTAAGCACAAACAACACTGAGACACCTATAAAGTTGTTTTGTATCACACCTCTCAATGGATATTTTCCACATATTAAATGTATAAAAATGCATCCAGTAGTGTTTTTCTAGATATCAATGTTTGTTGAAGAGATGAAAACTCAGAACTATATAGTCCATTAGATTTAGTAAGGCACAAACAACACCTATACACATTAGGTCTGGGCAGAGCATTTTAAAATGGGTTACCTCTTTCCTAGAGCACCAGAATTCTTTCATTGGAGCCTGGACTACAACATGAAAGTGACAAACCCATTTCCAAATTGAACAGAACTACTGTACGCAGTGAGTTGTTATGCATACAGATCCTTAGCTTCATGAAAGATGGGAAATTAATGGAAGAGTTAGACAAGTAATGGAAAGAGAAACTTAATACTATTATGTTGAGATAATCAGCTCTCTCTTTAACAAGCAGGTTTCTTACCATCATGAGGCTGTATTACATAGTGACTGCCACCAATGTACTCTCCTGCAATTCCTAACTGAGAAGCATCTGTTGTAGAACTATCACCATCCATCTATAAAAAAAAAAAAGAAGCAAACTTTTAAATGATCAACTTCATATACCAAATACTACCTCTTAGCTGTAGGGATCTAAATTCAGCCCCAGTACAAACAAGCTCCTTGCTATAAAGAATGTCTCTCATGCTTTCATTAGGGTTGGATTTGATTTGAGTTGCTTTGGCTTCAATAACTCCTTCAGATTTAATATTCTAAGAGGAACCTTTAGTACAATACAGTGTTTGTCATACATGAAAAATTAGTACCCATTTATCATTTAAAGGGATACACTTCAATGCATTCTATGAAAATGACAGCCAATACTGGTACTACTTCCTCCTGGTTCCCAGCGATGAAACAGCAAGCAAGACGGAAACAGTTGGGGTTTTTTTCCAGCAAAAGCAAAACATAGGTAGTCGCAGGTTAAACTACAAGGCTATGCTAAAAAGCTAAGTGCTTGAAGCAAGTTACCCTTTAACCAAAGTTCTTATACAAGAGATAAATTTATCTCAATATAGTTGTTTTATATTTAAGGGTAAGCACCATAATAAGATCGTCTACTTCCCAGAACTCCATTTCAGTTGTTTTTAATCATTATCTTAAACTGGGACTGAAACTTTCTATGCTTGACCTCTGCTTCAAGTCAATTCTCTTTTTGGAAAACTTTCAGCAAAACCCGAACAGCCATTTTTGATAACGGGAATAGTAAATATGCAGTCTCATCAAGGTCACTTAAAATAGTTTCTAAAACCTCATTAGTTTGAAACAAAACTCAAGAATATGGTTCAGCAATCCACATATTTTTTCCAACTCCCAAATATGAGTATGATAACGTTTCCAACCTTCAGAACTTATAATAATATTGTCTGTGCAGAAATTATACATTATTTGTTTAATCTTAAGCATTTTCCAACAGCAAGCAACTACTGATACACGTTTGGATTTGTACTTTAGGAGTGAATAAGAACAAAAAACAAAAACCTACCTGACCCTACAAAGGACAATCTACACCAGACTTAACCACTGCCCATCTTCAGCAATACTCACAGGTAACTCGCATGATTGCATCAGGATAATACATTAGCCCTATCTATACTACTGTCAAAGAGTTCCAGCCATGATTGGTACAGTTATTATTGTAATGTAAGGACTAATATAGTGCTGGCTATTATTGGGACATCAGTAACAAGTATGTCCAGCACAGAGGAGCCCAGCAGGAATTAACAGGATGTTCAAAAGCAATACGTGGCCATATCTTGCCAATTCCACCCATTAAGGTAGACCTGTCATAAGCAGCCTAACCTCTGCCCCTTTGCCCAGCTCACACATCCCTCCACACCTTGGATAGACTCAGCAGCTTGCTGCTTCAGGACCCCCTGGATTTGGGTAGTAGCTGATCTTGTCCCTAGTGCTCTCACAGTTCCACTTAAAACACTGCATCTGACACCCTTCTTTGTCTACAGTAGGAATGTGTCTAAGAGACTGTGGGACACCATGACCAGTTTCTCAGACTTCCCAATCTCACAGATAAATTAAATATTCCCTCAGAGTTCTACCTAGCTGTAGGGATCCAGTTACTTGATTACACTCTTCAAGGACAATGTGGAAGACAAACAAGCAGTACAGGCTTGTTAAAGAACTCTCATTACTGGAGTCACTTCACTTCTAAGAGCACTTGAGTTAAGAGAGTTTTGAAAGACTACAAAAAGAGGCTCTGAACACATTCCCTCCACCCCTGCTCAGTCCTGGGTTATTCTACCTCCTTAGGCTGAGCAACCTTTCCCACCATGGCTCTCCTTGGCCTGATCTTCCCATGTGACACTAGCCTGGTCACAAAGTGTTCACTCTCAAATGCTATCCAACTCCTGTGGCAATGTGTCCAGGCTATGGAACTACAACTCTATCACCGCTTTTGTGTAGAAAGTTGATCATTCTGCTGGATGGTTGATAAATGAGAGAGGAGTTGATTGCTCTACCTCCCTGTGTTTAAGCCATTCACTTAGGTGTTAATCCCCTGATATAAAATGGATGCTCTTCTCCACAGTAGAGGTTACACTAAAACATGACGGTCACACTCAAAAGATGACAATTACAATGCAAGATAGAGCCTCTAAAGAGAATCTATATTCCAAATTATAACTGATTCACAATTTAGTACAGAATTACCCATTAGTATCTGCACTGGCATTTTTCCTAAATTTTTCCATTTTTGCTGCTGTCTGTACCACTCCACATGTGATCAGTGAGAGCAGTACAGTACAGAGGTCTCCAGCCAGCTCTCAGCACTATAGGCACTGCCTTTCCTAACCCTGTTCACAGACTGGTTATCCAATACAGTGGTTCTCAACCTTTTGCAGCTTACGTCCCATCAACCATTTTCTCAAAACCCTGGTCCCAACATGATAAAAACAAAATCTTACAAAACTGCACTGTCTGAGATCTGTTGATTCATCTACTTGAAGTGCAAACAACTGTTTTTTTCAATTGGGCAATTAGTTGAAGTCCCACCTACATGACCTTTGTTCCGCTGGTTGAGAAACACTGATCTAATACAATGGGTAACACGCCAGAGCTCACTGGAGGCCTTGAAGACCTCCCATAGACTATACTACTGGGAGAACTGAACTTCCAGAAGCAATGCTGAGAAATTTTAGGAAGAAAGTCTACTTGTACACAAGATGCAAGAAAAGTACTTAGCTCTTTTGTAAGAATAAGAAATGTAATGGCTTTGGGGTGAAGATAAACTGATTTTCACTTACTTCTTAAATCAAATCTGGACACAGGTGTCCAGAGAAGAGCTACTACAACGTTAACATTAATGTTCTGGTGATGTTTCTTTGGGTTTTGTGCATGGTAATATACCCCACTCAAACAGGGGTATTGCTGGCAGAGCTGTCTCACAGTGGATAAGCTTCCAGAATAAGAGATACTGCAGTTTTAAGTTTGGAACATTTTTTTTTAAATCAGGTGACTATGTTTACAGCAGCCTGCCATTTGGGCTAGGATCACCACTGATTACTGAAAAATGAAATCTCAGTTTGGCATGAGGCCTGTGTTCCACGTGACTTAACCTGATTTAGGAAAATATGTTGCAGAGTAAAGACAATGCACTGCTAATTGACAACAAAACAATTAAAAAAGCCTCCACTTTTATTGAAAATGTTCTAAACATATTCCAAAATGCAGTGCAGCATACAAACACCTCCCAGCAGGCAGTATTCCAAGTCACAGAGCATTTATGGGGGAGAAGGGCAGCAACTCCTACATTCACCTAGGTGTCAATCCCCCTGTACAAAATAGATGCACACATTTGGTAGCAAGAAAGCATTTCCCAGCACTAGGAATAAGTGATATTCCAAAACAAATTAGTTCTTAAAACAGTGGTTCTCAACCTTTAAAAACTGAGACTCCCCTCAACAGATTCCAGGCACCCTACGCTAGGCTTGAGGCACCGCTGGGAAAATGCCTTCTCTTAATTTTCACTCAACTACAGAAAAATAGAACAATTCTTCTATTGCAAAGAATTCAGAAAGACTACAATAAGAAGTCAGAACGTTTTTAACATTATGGGTTCCTATTGGGAAGCCTCTGGGTTTCTCTTGTGAATACTGCATGGCACCCTTGACAGGATCTCAAGGGACCCCAGGGTGCCATGGCATCCTGACTGAGAATCACTGACCTAGAACTAGATAATAAAGGTCCTAGAAATGAAGTCTCATTTTCAAAAGTGACTGAGGTCCCAGGAAGCCAAGTGTCCTTGAACCAGTCTTCAAAAAGAAGTAGTCAATATATATATCTAGCTTCAGATTTATGTTTAATCATACTCTTATACGATATTAGAAAAGGGGAGGGGGTAATAGTTTCTCTATTTTCAAGGCTACAGAATCATCTCATTACATGGAGTTAAAGCAGACTGCATTAGAATTGTATGTTGCATATATAAGCATTGAAAATACAATTATTACCTGCTCAGTAAATTTCTACATCCAATTTAAAAAAAAATACTAAGTGGGGGTGGGGGCAGGAGGGGAGAGAAAAAGAGATAGATTGGTTTAGAAATATAAGCAAACTGGAAGTCAAAATTATGGTTTTGGGTGGTCAACATTTGTTCTGTTCTTTTCAGATCTTGTCAATGATTTGGAAGAAGTGAAGCAGAACACAGGGATGTGTTGCAAGTAGCACAGAGGACAGAAAGGTAACACAAAGGAAATGAGAGATTAGATATACAGGGAAGAAACAGTGATACTGCAGGATATATGTAAATCAAAACACCTGGAGAAAATGGCTGAGATTACTGTGAGGGAGGCACACAGAATTAATTGCATCAAAAAGACAGTAATAGTGGGCAACACATTAATATAGACAGGAACCTATAGTGTAATTTAGATAGGAACCTACCCTCTCTATAATGCCCAACTGGACTGCCTCTTAAATACTATGTTCAGTTCAGAACACCTTGATGTCACAAAGATCAAACAGGATATAGGATTTATTTAGGTTGAGAGAGCAAGAAATATTTGTGGCTTGGCTAACTGACAGTTGGAAACAAATAAGACTACAAGTTTAAAGACTGAAGACAGGAAATAAATTTAACATAGTACAAGGACTTAAATAAGAAAACTGAAATGTCTGTTCTTAAACCAAAATCTTCTGGCAACATTGGAACAGCTTCCCAAGGGAGGCAGCAGAAGATCTGCTACTCGAGACATTTAAAACAAAACCATACAATATTTAAAACATGCAGTGTA